GTCAACCATTGATCGGGCTCAAGTTTGACGACTTGAAAGTTTCTTTAGAGAAAATTAAGTAGTTGGAGGTTTTAATTGGGAACGAAAAAAATTAAAGGTTTTAATTGGAAATTTTTTTCAATTTGGAGAGTTTATATGGGAACGAAAAAAGTTGGAGGTTTTACTTGGGAAAATATTTCAACTTGGAGGTTTTTTCTAGGATTTTTCCTTCTTATAATGATGAAATAAATTATAGCTCAAAACCTCATGTATCAAATTAAAGGAAGAGATAGCTCAAAACCTCATGTATTTTGGTTTTTGATGAATTTTGGGTCTCTCATGTTGAGATTTGAGATTGGTATGTAAATATAATGATGAAATAAATTATAGTAAATTAGTATTTAAATGTAACCTCCACCATGAGAAAATACATTAATTTTTTAAAAATTAAATTATGGGAGTTACAATAATAGTTAATAGTGTGTTTGAATGCCATTGAATAGGAAAAAAAGTGAATACAAATTTATATGATTTAGCTTACAATTTAGTATTAAAAGGTGGATTAATGTATATGATTAAATGTATTATATTTGTGGTTTAATAAGATATAGATAAAGTCAATTATATTAATATATTCATTATCTTTTTATAAAAAATTCAATTCTCATGAGATTAGTAATTATTTAAAGTATTGATAAACTATATATATTAATAGGAGAAAATTTATTCACTTATTCTAATTAATATGACATTGCAAAAAAATGTAGCGACTGAATAATAGTTAAATTGTGGGAGTTACAATAATTGGTAATAGTGTGTTTGAATGACATTGAATAGATAAAATAGTAAATACACAAGTTATATGATTTTGGTTACAATTTAGTTTTAAAAGGTGGATTAATGTATATGATTAAATGTGTTATATTTGTTGTTTAATTAGAGATAAATAAAGTTAATTGTATTAATATATTTACTCTCATTTTTATTATTCTTATTAGAATAACATTGCAAAAAATGTAATAATCATGTCATGTGAATTATTTATATTAAAGTGAAGAGATACAACATAAAATAACCATAGGGCAATATGCTATATGTAAGAAATAAAATTAAATTAAAAATATAACATCTTATCGCATATACTTAAACTATTTTATCGCCAAATAATTTGATCTTTATTTTCTTACTTTAAATTATGTGAAAAAACAAAGATAAAATGTTGGAAAATATCTCTTTATTCAAAAATATCCTTTAATTATTTTATCATCAAATAATTTTGATTTTATTTTATAATTTGATTTGAGGACTATTGTGGTTATTGTTCTCAAAAATCAGTTAAACAGATTTATTGCACTCAAATTAAAAAATAAACTGAAAATGACATGTGTCAAAAGAGTAGAGCACCAAATGTCACATTCTTAGAGCTTGTTTTGAAGAAACCTTGTCATATTATATAAGATGTATTGCCTTCTGTATAATGTGAGTGTATAAATTCTTTTTTCATTCAAATCCAATCTCACCTTTGTATAATCTAGTGAGCTTTTTCTGCGTATAATCTTCGTTTAAATCCAATAATTAAGAAAAAGACCAAAACTGAGTAGCACTCTTCCAGGAATTACGAAAGAAAAATCAGAAAATATCAAAAAAGTAATTGCATGTAAAATCACTTGTCTCATCCTTAATTTTTACTCAACGAAAAAGTTTGTACTGATTGAGTTGAGGATTGTATAATGTCTAATAATGATATTTGCAAAATGTATTTATATGGTTGAAATCATGAGTACGACATGATTGCTATTATGAGACACAACTATACAACTAATTTCATAAATATATAATTTCTCTATTTCAAAATAATAAAAAATGTTCTACTTGAATACATGCCTATTCAAAGAGCAAATTAATTTACTAATATAAATTATAATTAATGGAAAATAGTTTTAATGAACTCTACGGGTAAATAGAAATAAAAGGAACATATATAAAACCCCCCAAAAAATAAAACTAAAAACTAAAAATCATTTAAACTACCATCATTTGTGTTAGTGTTGTTGATGTGTCACTAATCAGATTCAAATTGTTAGAAAAAAAGTCAATGGCTAGAGCTCACAAAAAAAAAACTAATTATATGTTGCAACATCGTAGGAATCATAGAAAATACTAGAAATCGTACCCAATTTCCTACTATCAAAATGGTAGAAACTAACTAGTTGTTTCTTACCGTTTTCCTACAAAATTTGTTCGTAGAAATGTCCGTAGAAAATCGAAAACGGTCTAAACGGTCTAAACTATGGCATATGGTATAGTTGGAAAAACCAAGTGACTAAAAGTGTATCTAAATTGTTTGAGAAATTAGCACATATATTTATATATAGTTCATTTTTAAGAATTTAGATATACACATTTGTACTTCTGGGGAATTTTATTCAGATTCGGGTTCTCAGCCATTGTGGCTAAAAAGACTATGTAATGATTTGATTATTTGAATAAAGTTTTCGTTTGCAGAAAAAAAAGAAAGATAAACACATTGGTGCATGGATCGAAATAATAATCCTAATCCACGACGTACGTAGTTTAACATTTGGCAGAAACATACCATGCATGATGTGGCTGGTCAACTAATCACCGTAATTGGTGCTTCAGAACAAACAACAAAAATCGGAAATTGAGAAAATATTATTGCCATTAAATCCTGCATAAAACCAGTGGTGACCCATTAGCTTCCGTACGGAACACACTGCCTTTTGATGACATGGCATTTTCAAGCTCTCTGATTCGTTAATTTCTTAGTTAATTTTCGTTAACTCCACTTAACCAATCAAACATCTGCATTTCCTTTTTCGATAAACACATCTTCTTCTCTTACTTTAGGATACTAATTTTTGTGACAATATTATATGTGATATATTTAATTTAACTTTTGTATCACTTTTGTGTATATAGTAGTAGTATACACAGTAGACCATATTGAAATGTTGAAATCGCTAAGGTATTAAAAAACTTGAGTTTCAAAACCTTTAACCAGAAAAAGGCTGATTTTAGTATATTATATACAAATGTTGCTAGGTTAATTTGGTTTAGCCGTTTAAGTTTTAAACTACAATTTTTTCAACGTTTTATTTTTCAAACATTTGTGCTCAACAGTTTTTGCAAGGTTTTCGTTTGGTTTGGAGTGGAGTTTTGTCTTCATTTGTACTGAAACGAAGCAACTTTTTCACTGGAAAAAAAAAGTAAACTAAAAATAGTAGGAGTAAAAAAAAAATTACTATAAAGTTGAGGAACAAAGATACCAATAAAAAGCTTTCAACTTTAATTTTAGTAGCTAGGCGCCAGTTGCAGGTTCCCCCATTAAAAATTTCTGTGTCTTGAATTTTGGGTTTAAGACATTTGTTTTTTTTTTCATTTAAAAAAAAATACAAAATGGTCTTAAGACATTTTTTTGGGAAAAATGTCGGAAAATGCGCGAACTTTCAAATTTGGGACAAAAAAATCATGAACTTTCGAAATGTCATTTAAATAATAAAGTTTAGTTTGACTTTTTATAAAATGGTTAAGTTTTCGTTGACTTGGCCATTCCGGACATGTCGTTAAATTTCCGTTAACGAGACATTGACGGGGTTAACTTTTTGTTAGAAATCTCTGTTGAATCGAAACGACATCGGTTTAAAAACAACAAAATGACGTCATTTTACTGGAAAATAAAATGAATTAACTGCGTCTGTGAAGAATCGAACTTTACGTCGTTTCGATTCAACAGAGATTTCTAACGGAAAGTTAACTCCGTCATCGTCTCGTTAAGGGAAATTTAACGACATGTCCGAAATTGCCAGGTCAACGAAAACTTAACCATTTAATCAAAAGTCAAACTAAACTTTATGATTTAAATGACATTTCGAAAGTTCATGCTTTTTTTGTCCCAAATTTGAAAGTTCGCGCATTTTCCGACATTTTTCCCCATTTTTTTTCCATCTGTTACATTAAGACACCTTTGATGGATACAAATAAATTTGTTACCTTTGGTTATCTCACCAACATCAGTAATTTTCTTTGTACACTTAAAATAATTATTTAATTTTCACATTTTATCCAAAATATATTTATTTGTTGTATAAATTGTTCTATGGGTTCGATTGGTAACCAAAAGCTGTTAGCTGTTAGCTGGAGCTGTTAGCTTTTCCGGAATAGTGCAAAGCTGTACGAAAGAGCTGTACGAGAAAGCTGTACAAAAAAGCTGAGAGTAAAACTTTTAGTAACGCTTTTGGTAAAGCTTTTGTGATTGGTAACTGTCAAAACTGTAGACTTTGTAACGCTTTGTACCGCTTTATAAAGTTCCATTTATTTACTCTATCTTGGACTAGATCAAGATAATAATCATTCGTTTAGGAAACCCAACCGAAGTTAGTGACTACTAAGACCATCTCCAATGTATTTCCCTATTTTTAGCTCTATCTCTATAATAGAGGTAAGTTTTCTCTATTTTTACTCCAATGTGTTCCTCTATTTTTTTCTCTAAAAAGTTTAACTCTAATTATAGAGGAAAAAATAGAGATTCTCTATTCTCACCTCTATATATAGAGAAAAAAATAGAGATCTCTATTTTAGAGGTGAGAATAGAGGTGGGTTGGAGCAAATTTGCTTCTAAAATAGAGTTTAGAGGCAAATATAGAGGTGGGTTGGAGATGCTAACTAGTAAGATTTGATAATACTACAGAAATGTAAAAATCGATGGTTTAATTCTTCTACAGAACGAATTTTAATAATAATGATTAATGAAGAGGATTATACTTTATACACATGAGACAAGAGGCGGTTACGGCAGTTATGAGGATTTGGTTAATAATTACGGCGTTAGAATTAGGGAAACGGAACGGATCCGAGGATCTCACAAATCAACGGCTAAGATCGTAAGATAAAAAAGTAACAACTAACATATTCCGTTAAGTAGCGGCGTGTATTAACTAACGGCAACGTTAACGTTACTTTTTGCGTATATATAAACGGAGACGGTTTCCTTGGAGCTTGTGCACACTAAATCTGTCACTCTTCTTCTTCTTCTTCTACTTTTCTCTCTCCTCTCTCTCTCCCGCTTATTTTCCCAGAAAAAGTGCGAGAAAATTTCGTTGAGCTCTCTCTAGAAGAAGAAGAAGAAGAAGAAGAAGAAAGCTTCAATGACGTCGTCTTCTCAGAAACTGATCAGTGTTTGTTTCGCAGTTCTCGTCATCTTAGCTCTCACGGCGATGATTTTCCGGAACAGTGAAATCTCTCTCTCCAGGTCTTTTTTCTCTTCTCGAATCTTCAAATTTTCTCTCTCTATGTTTATTTTTCTTCTGTTTCGTTGTTTAGAAGTCTCCGTTTTAAGCTGCATTGTCAATTTCTGTGAAGGATTTTGATATTTTTCGTCTCTGTCTGTTGAATCTCGCTTTCAACGATTCTTCTTTTTTTTCCATAGATTTGCTTTCTGTTTATGGATTTTGGCATTTTAGGACTGTTTTTGTTGAAGATTTCAATTTTAAGCTCCAGATTTCGTAATAATCCTCTGTTTTTCCGGTATTTGGTTTTCATAGGAAGCTGAAAACAGAGGTGATTCAGAGCTCAAATAGCTCAACAATGGCGGCGACAAGGTAAAACTTTAGTACAGATCCAAACATAACAACCGCTAGGATTTTATTTTTATTTTAAAATAAAGTGGAAATTAAATAACGATCTTAGCCGTTGATCTGTATTACTGGAAATTACATCTCCAGATTTCGTAATAATACTCTGTTTCTTTTGTTTTTCGGTTTTCTCCAGGAAGCTGAAAACAGAGGAGTTTCAGAGCTTAAACTGCTCAACAATGGCGGCGACAAGGTAAAAAAGAGAACAAAACTCAGATTTCATTTTTTGCCGCCGCTCACAAACACGAAACGCGCTTTTAACCGCTAGGGTTTATACTTTTTTATTTATTTAAAATATTAAAAGTAGGAAAATGAACTAACGATCCTAGCCGTTAGATTAAGATCCTCGGATCCATTTTCCGTTAAACCAATACTTTTTGGTCTTTTGATTCCTCGAATGTAGCGTTAGAGGTTTGCATTCATCGCCGCTCACACATGCTCTGTCTCTTCACTCTATACAACTTTTTTATTATTCTAATATTCCACGTCAGTATATAACTAACCGCGATAAAGTTAATTTGTACCCAAGGGTAAATTAGTCATTCTCTTGCGTGTACACATATCGAATTTTACTTGCGTTGTGATGAGAACACGTGTCAAAAAGTTTGGTTGGTTAATGTATGAGTTTATGGTTGGTCGCGTCATTTGTGGCTTTTTTTTTTTTTGTTTCAGGCTTGATGGTGAACCACAACAACAACACGCCGTTGCTGCTGATCCAGATATGGTTGCTGATGAAGTCGCTAAGCTTGTTCAAATGTGCGTTTCTCTCTCTCTTTTTCTTTATAATTGTGTGAATGCATTAATAAGCGTTTCTGATTTCTGCGATTGCATTTTAGACGCGACAAGTCACACACACGTGAACCTTAAAAATAAAATTAATTAGAGAACAACTTTTGCTTTTATTTTTGTCTGTCACCATTCTCTCTCTTTCTCTTTTAATTTCATCGTGAAACGACAAAACTGACATGAAACCCTTCCCTCTCGCATAAAACTGACACATTGTCGTTTCTTCACCATGCTCTCGCGATTGTCAGAGTCGTTTGCTTGCTTGCTTGCACGGACATTGTTTTGTTTGTTTTAATTTATGGTTTTCTTCCTTCATTCATTAATTCGATTTCACTTTTTTGGTTCTCTCTGTGACTGAATTTGGGGTTTACACGAAGAGGTTGGTTTAGTAACTGCTTCTGTCGTCTTTTTGTTGCATTTAAGTTTTTGAAGTCTCTTTCATTTGGATATATTATGGTCTTGTCTATTTTAGTTTCTCACCAGCTGATCATTAATGGAACTTTTTCGGATTTATTCGACAACTACTTTGAAGACCTCATAAGTCATAAACCAACAAAAATTGGATTCGTTATTTATTACGTTAGGTAAGAACAAACAGAAACGGCGGCTGAGTGTTTAATCAGCCTGTAGATTTGGGTCAAAGTAAAAAAAGAAAGTCATTTTTTGAATTATTTTCTCAGATTTGTCTCTGTGTGTGTGATTGGTTGACCTATCAAAGCATGAATGTAACTAAATTCAGGAGTATTAAATTTTCAGGAGTGAACAGAACAGGACAGCAAGAAGGAAGCTAGGATTCTTCTCATGTGGAACTGGTAATCCAATTGATGACTGTTGGCGTTGTGACCGTAACTGGCACAAGAACCGTAAACGCCTTGCGGATTGTGGGATTGGTTTTGGAAGAAACGCAATTGGTGGTCGTGATGGACGCTTCTACGTTGTTACTGACCCGACTGATGAAGATGTTGTTAATCCCAAACCTGGAACTCTACGCCATGCTGTCATCCAGGAGGAGCCTCTGTGGATTGTGTTCAAGAGGGATATGGTAATAGAGCTGAAACAGGAGCTGATCATGAACAGTTTCAAGACCATTGATGGCCGTGGCTCCAACGTCCATATAGCCAATGGTGCTTGCATCACCATCCAGTTTATCACCAATGTCATTATTCATGGACTCCACATTCATGATTGCAAGCCTACTGGAAATGCAATGGTTAGAAGCTCGCCATCTCACTTTGGTTGGAGGACAATGGCTGATGGTGATGCAGTCTCCATTTTTGGATCATCTCATATCTGGATTGATCATAACTCTCTCTCTCACTGTGCTGATGGCCTTGTTGATGCTGTCATGGGTTCTACTGCTATTACTGTTTCCAATAACCACTTTACCCACCACAATGAGGTCTCATTTGTTATCTGTCCTCCTTCAAAACACTAAATCTATAGGCTGATTCTGTTTTCATGACAGTGTATGTATGTATGTATGCAGGTGATGTTGCTTGGGCACAGTGACTCGTACACAAAAGATAAGCTAATGCAAGTGACCATTGCTTACAACCATTTTGGAGAAGGACTAGTTCAGAGAATGCCAAGGTCACTATTTGTTCTCAACTTGTTAATCCAAAGAAGTTGCCATTTGTTCTGACAGTAGAAAATTGGTTGTGTAATGGTAATGCAGGTGTAGACATGGGTATTTCCATGTGGTTAACAACGACTACACACACTGGGAGATGTACGCCATTGGTGGGAGTGCAGAGCCAACCATCAACAGTCAAGGAAACAGATATGCTGCTCCCATGGACCGCTTCGCCAAAGAGGTTCAACTTCTTAAACCGTTGTGTTTGCTTAAACAGAGTAATAAGAGGTTGTTATATGTATAAGCAAGATTAAATTGTGGATCCACAGGTGACGAAAAGAGTGGAGACAGATGCAAGTGAGTGGAAAAAGTGGAATTGGAGGTCAGAAGGAGACCTTCTACTGAATGGAGCATTCTTCAGGCCATCAGGAGCAGGAGCGTCTGCTAGCTATGGACGAGCCTCAAGCTTAGCAGCTAAACCATCATCTATGGTTGACACTATTACCTCTACTGCAGGAGCACTAGGTTGCCGTAAGGGCAGACCTTGCTAGTCGTCTAGCTCTCTCTATACCACTATCATAGTACCTAACCCTAAATCCTTCTACATATCTTTGGAAGGTACATATATAGTACTACTCTTCTTCTGTTTCCTCTTAGGACGGTCATTTCCCGTTTTCTTCCGGGTGGTAGGAATTGGTCAACCTCGGCTTGCTTCTTCTTTCGTCTTCTTAAAAAAAAGGTGGGAATGCAGAGAGGAGCAAGCGCAGAAGCGTTGTTCAAAAAGTTTCCTTCTTATAGTTTACAAATCTCTTACGGTTTTAGTGTTTGCTTTTGTTTTTGGGGTTGTTAAGGTCCTTTGGTTTTAATGGATCCTCCCTGAGTTCTAGAGTCTGTTTGGGTGTTTGTTTTTGTTAATTCCCTTTCAAGTTAGTGATTGTAGTTGCAAAAAATTGTTACAAACGATTGAAAAGCTTTTGGTTTGATTGCAACTTCCGTTGGCTTTTATGTTTTGTTTGGTTGTTACTTGTTAACCATTTGTTTCAATGGATGACGAAATTGTTTAAATCTTTTTATGCAACCTAAAGCAAACCACTTGAGAGGTGAGAGGTGAGAGGTGAGTAAATGAAAAGGAGTTACATTAACATGTGATGTAATCCCAAACCCACAAGTAATTGATGCTATCTTTGTTTCTTCTTTTGGAGTTGAGGTTTTAGTGGTTCTGTTCCCTGCGATGCACGTTACGTGTTGGGATCTTCTTTACTCTTTTTAGATCCGATTATATGAGGAGTTTTACCCACTGGTTGTGCTCTCATTAATACATTGTGTGATCACAAACGGCTAATCATGTGAAACATGATATCATCCCATTCCCCTTTATTTGCCATCCTACATTTATTTCAGCTTTTTGGTCGGATGGGTTTATCAGATTCATACTATCTCACCATCAGAGTATTTAATGAACAACTTGAACGATACTACCAAACAATGTATTTCAATCCATGGTTTCTACTTGTATAGAGGAATAAAAAAAGATACAATACTAATACCCCAAAAGGAGCTTAGAATAGGAACAAGAATCTGGTGAGTAATTAGTGCTCAAATCTTCAAAAGCTGGAGACAATGATTATTGGATTCTGATTCTCTTTAGATGGTACCATCATCTGTCTGGAACACATAGCCAGCCTCCTTAAAGTGAGATTTCACCAATGCTAAAGACTTGTACCTATGAGATATCTTGTTCTTTTCTTCCTTTTCCATCTCTGCATAACTACAACCAAAATAGAGAATGACCAAGTAGTATCCTCAGTTATCCCTTCTAACAATATCCGAAAAATCGAGGTTTAATACAATGTTTTCTGGGAGATAACAGAGACGTACGTTTGGTCATATCCATCAGGTTGAAACACTGGATCCCACCCGAAATCAGTCGGTCCTCTTGCTGGAACTATCTTACCCTACGATATCAATCACAAGGGAAAAAAAGATCAAACTTTGACAATTAACAAACACAGAAAGAACAGAACTAATAAATGACTAGCAGATGGAGCAGAGAGTTTGATAAATGAGCCAGCGGTGACAATGTTGAACATACCGGAGTTTTCCCCAAAAATGTAAGAGGTTCAGCACCTGGACCACGAGAGAAAGAGAATGCGCACAAGGCATAAGCTGATTTATCTTCATAGGCCATCAGTAAGTTGTTCAGACCTGGACATGAGTCAGACCAGGATTGGGTGTTACCAGTGTAAGATATGAATGAAACAAATGCTGAGATGAGAGAAACAAGTGCTATTACAAACCTTCATGACCAAGCTTCTCTAGAAACCACTTGCTGCAAAAATAGAAAAGAAGATCAAAAGTGCTACAAAGAAGAACTCTAGAGACAACAACATAGCTCCAATACAATTATTCCTACACTAATTCAATCTAATATCGATCAGTCCAGCAACAAATTAAGAAATCCAGGATCAGTACATATAATAAGATAACTCCATTTGGCTATTCACTCACACCACTTAGCAACCGCCAAGACGAACTAAGAACAGGTATTAATCCAACCCCACCAAACAATTTTCCAAGACATTACCACTCGAGAAGGCTTCAGAAATAAAGATCAACATAAGAATATATCACCGTGACATATCTAAGTCTGTTATCCCTTATAGTTGAACCTTCATCACAACAAAGTGGAACTGGAGCAACTCTATCCTCCAAATGAAAAATTTACAAGAACAGAATCAGGAGAAGAATGATGAAACAAAACTTACATGTATGGCCCTGAAAAATCCAACAAAAACGAAATCAACATAAATTCAAACAATGTGTAACCATTTGCTGTACATAGAGACAGTACATGAAAAAAACTTAGAATCTAAAAGGAAATCATACCAGGAAGTCCCTTCAAAGCATTGAAACAGAGACATGTATCCTCCACTAGCACTGGTCCATTCACCTTCTCATTTATAATCAAAACACACTCTATATCAGTCCTACTAACTTACTATACTAGTCCACATTTAAAAGAAGGAAGCAAAAATGGAACAGTACAAGCTTACACACATAAACATAAGTACTGTATGATGATTTTGTTGTAATCAATTCAAGTAATAGAAGTGAGGATTAGAAAAATGTAAAAGCTTGTGAACCTGAAGAGCAGCCAAACGAGCCTTCTCTTTAGAGATATCCTCAGGCTCACCTTGAAGCTCAGGCACTGAAACTCAAGAAATACACAATGAGACTCAAGAAAATGAGAAAAAGAAAAACAGCAATCTTGATATAGAAATTGAAATGGGTACGCACGGTCGAGTTTGAGAGACTTGAAAGGAATGGAATTTCCGATGATAGCTTTGACTTCTTCGAGCTTTTTGGCGTTTCCGGTCACAAACGTCACCGGCCGTGGCAAAACCACCGCTGCTTTCGCCGCCGCCGCCATTTTCTGTGTCTCAGTCTCAGATAGCGAAAGCAAAGTCCTTTTGTTTTCTTCTTTGGACATAAATGGGCTTAAGTCCACTTTTATCTAAGCCCATTAAAAATTTATACTTGTTAAAAAACTTAAAATTACGCATAACCGATCATTGGTTTAAGTAAACCAACTTTTCATTCAATTATCTTGGACTTGGATAGAAAGTCGTACACCTAAGGGGAAAGATAAGATATATAGCCTCAAGAGTTCCATGATACATGACAAATTGCCATATCTTCTGACAAAGTGACAATGCTTAGTTTAGAGACATATAACCTCTATTTTCATAGTGTTTCACGAGGAACATTGGTTTGTTGGTCTCAAGACTCTCAACTTTTCACATATGGAGAGTTATTTAGTAATCCAAAAATCACTCCCAACAAATTTTACTTTGAACTGTAAATTTTATTATAAAGATTTTTTTTATAAAGACAAGTCATATCATAAGTTCTTGGAAATTACTCTTATCATTTTTATATTACCATTTCATTTGATAAAACATAATAATTTATTTTTGTTACGAAAGTCAGAAAAATAAAATAAAACAAACATCAACAATAGATGTACACACGTTAAACATTGTATGTTAAATATTATTTTGTGTAGATCTCAGTGTCACTATGCACGTTTAATAATTTACTCTTATATGTGTATAATATAAGCAGCGATCAAATTCGATCGATACAATTCACAATTCACAATTCACAACTTCAATTACAAAAAAAAGTAATAACAAAATCTCTCTTTCTCGTCCTTCTTTTATTTCGATATCTTAATTTTCAATTTTTTGGCATGTATAATAAAAATATTATTTATATTAATAACCACTAAAATTAAATAATACCTATTTACAACAGTTTTGCAAGGATTTGTGTTGTTTGTTTTTTTATCTTACAAATGAAAAACGACGTCCTGACCATGACCCAGCTGTACCGGGACAAGATTGCACATTTGGTTCAACTTTAACCTCTCCGTCTCCGAATAGAGAGAGAGAGAGACTCAAAACATTTCCAAAATCAAACCTCAAAATCAAAATCAATGGCCAAGAAAGGTATCCCAGAGTGGCTCAACAGTTCTCTCTGGTCTTCCTCTCCTCCTCCTCCTCTCATCGACGATCGCCACCTCCGCAATCCTCCCGCCACTTCCGTCACCCCTCCATCTCCTCCGATCGTCGAGCGTCCTCCTTTTTCTTCCTCTCCCTCCGCGATTTCCACCGCACCAGCTCCGTCTCTTCCTGTTCGTCCTCCTTCCAAATCTGAGATTAACGATTTGCAGAATGGGAGTGGTAACGATGGAGCTGGAACCGAAAGTCCTGTAGCTTCTTCGGTTGAGGATGTTTCTCGAAAGGCGCAGGTCGTGGCTGAGGTTAGTTGCTCAAAACAACCTTCATGCTCTGTGCATTTTGATCGATTGCTCTTTGTATTTTGATCAAGTCGTGGTTGTCAGTTATCGAAGAAGGTGATAGACTTAAAGGAATTGAGGAAAATTGCTTCCCAAGGTTTACCTGATGATGCTGGAATTCGCTCCATTGTTTGGAAGGTAACCGCATGCGCGTCTTTTCAGTCTAGCTTATTAGATAATGTTAGATGTTGTTCTTTACGGGAATATGTAGTTTATGGATCATTATTGTTACTGTGCTTTTAGTAATGCAAATCCATTTTGATTTGTTGAGTTTTCTTTGAACTTGCTTATGGTTTCATGAAATACTTAAGAGTGAATGGAAATGGTACATGTTTTCAGTGTTAGAAAGATGTAGAAGATACAGATTCCGGTTACCTATTCTGTCAGTTTATGCTTCATGCTGTTCTCTTGAATGTGACAGCTTTTATTGGGTTATCTGTCACCGGATCGCTCCCTGTGGTCTTCTGAGTTAGCTAAGAAAAGGTCTCAGTACAAGCAATTCAAAGAGGAGCTTCTGATGAATCCTGTAAGTCCATTTTGGTTATTTGATACTAGAACATTATATTGATTGGTTTGTGAAGAGAAACACAATTTGCTTAATCGGCGGTCTCTTTTGATCATCCCTTAGCGAGATATTCTGTCAAATTTCTGATTAGAGTGGATGCCATTCTTATAAAGTAAGAGCTAGCTAGATTGATCGAATAGACACAGTCACATTTCTTTTAGCCGGGGAGAAATGAGCAATGAAGTTGACATAGTGGCATATCTGTTGCCAGTAGCTAAGGGTGTGATGAAGAAAACGCACTGCCAATAGAAGATGATGACTGTCATTAGGCGTTCTGCTAGCCTAGTAGAATTCGGTGATGTTCTATAGGGATGCATGGTTTTTTATTATTTTGATCCAGAAGCTTTGTACGTATAACATGATGTCTCAGCTAAATGGGTGTCATGCATTTGACTAAGCAGACTGATCTAGGGCCATTGGTCATGTGATACCTCCTAAAGGTACTATCAAAAGATATAGTTGTTAATCATAAAGAAGTCGGTCATTGTAGAGGTGCTTACGTTATCTGGATGATAATTCTTCCTTTTTTATGTTCCGTTATTGTTTTCAATTTAAGATTAACCTGGTTTCTATATATTTTTGTGGCTAGTTAGTCAGAAGTAACAAGGAAAATGGATAAATCAAAGGGCGGTGATAGTAATGACCCAAAAGTTGAAAGCCCTGGTGCCCTATCAAGGTCAGAGATCACTCATGAGGATCATCCCTTAAGTCTTGGAACAACAAGCTTATGGAATAATTTTTTCAAGGTATTTAGATTTGGCAGCTTGAGATATCCACAATTATTATTATTTTTGTGAGAATTGACAAGTTTAAATGTTATTAAATTATTATTGAAATGTACATTTTTCCTGAAAGATTTAGAAGTGTTATGGATCATGTAGCTGAGTTATATGATTCTCAGATGTTGGGATGTGATTGCTGAGCAAATTTGATTTATACTCACTAATAATGTTTTGCCACTTCCCAGTTGGTTTTAAAGGCAAATTAAAGAGACATATAGGAACTGGAGAAGTACAACCTCTGAGTTAGTGTCTGATAAACAACTTTCCTGTGAATATTACATTCAGTTCTTATGTGTTTAGATAGTTAAGGTTGCTACAGTTAAATATTTGTATAGGATGCCTTGTCAAATTGTGCAAAAACGCTTAGGCAGACTGTTATCACAATTAACAATGGTGTTTATTCCATAGGCGTAGCATGACTCATTGGCGACGCATTTGATGACTATGAAAAGATCCTTTTCTCTTCCTGGTTTAGTATAGTAATTCCGTTTTTGTTGCATATAAAGCTGCAAATGACCTTCCTAATTTTTCAAAATGTATACTGTTCAGGACACAGAAGTCTTGGAGCAAATAGACCGCGATGTGATGCGTACTCATCCAGATATGCACTTTTTCTCTGGGGATTCAGCGGTTGCAAAATCTAATCAGGTTGGGGGTTGGTTTTGATATAGTTGAAAGCTTTTGGGATGAGTAAAACATCTGTATACTGATAGTTTTCCTTGTCCGTTTATATATGTTTTGCATCATCAGGATGCTTTGAAGAACATTTTGACTATTTTCGCAAAGTTGAATCCTGGCATCAGATATGTACAAGGGATGAATGAGATATTGGCACCTATTTTCTACATCTTTAAAAATGACCCGGAGAAAGGAAATGCAGTAAGTACTTGTCCTTGCTAATGTACCATTCTGTTTTTCTTATTTGATTTGTACACATATTTTTCTACCTCTTTTGGTTCTTTTTGGGTAACACACCACTAGTTCTCCTCTTTTGCTTAACATTGGCATTTTAAGTTATGCAGGCGTACGCTGAATCAGATGCATTTTTCTGTTTTGTTGAATTGATGAGTGGGTTTCGAGATAATTTCTGTCAACAACTTGATAACAGTGTTGTGGGTATACGTTACACTATAACAAGACTGTCGTTGCTCTTGAAGCATCATGATGAAGAACTTTGGCGTCATTTAGAAGTCACAACCAAAGTAAGATATCTCACACAACTTTGGCTGATGAGACGTCTTGCTATATTCATTAGTTATGGCTGTGAATAGAAGATTTTGTTAGTGTGTATTGCTGCTGGTTCAGAGCTGTGTTGCATGAATGTTGTGCTGAAACTTTCAAGTCTTAATCTACCTTTACTACTAGATTGAAAAAAACCAAAAACTGTACCATCGCTTTCAAAATGTTCAACATTTTGACATTTGAGACCTGTGTCAATTTTCAGATAAACCCACAATTCTATGCATTCAGATGGATCACACTCCTATTGACTCAAGAGTTCAATTTCGTGGAAAGCCTTCACATCTGGGACACACTCTTAAGCGACCCCGAAGGTCCTCAGGTAGTATTCAGTTTATTACTATTCAGTTTCCGTAAGTCGTGAACGAGGTCAATTTAAAATGTTGCATTATTGTTGTGACTCATTCAACGTTTAAATACCTCTGAGCAGCTAGGACAGTAAAACATATGCACGTAGGGAATTTATTGGCAGACATCTACAGATTTGTATGTGTTATATAGTCCTAGAGATTGGTTTTTGGTTTGCATCTTACTGTAAAATTTAAGCTAGCAGAATTTAGTTAACGGGCGCTTATTATCTTGCGAGATAAAATAGCTTACAAGTGAGAGTGAATATAATTTGCAGGAAACGCTACTGCGGATATGCTGTGCAATGTTGATTCTAGTTCGAAGGCGTTTACTTGCTGGAGATTTTACGTCAAACCTCAAACTTCTTCAGAACTATCCTCCTACAAATATCAGTCACATGCTCTATGTGGCAGACAAATTACGCACTAAATAAGGATCTTCAGGTTAATAATATTTCACTCCTTTCTCCTTTATAAACTCTGCAACTTTCGTCTGTACATTATTGTGTAAGGTAATTTTAGCTGCAAGAGAAAATCTCAGATCAAACCTTTGCTTCAGTGTTAAAGACTATGATGTTATTACTGTGTAACAGAGTTATAAATAGAGAGAGAATTTTAGGATATGTTTTGCTTTGATCAATTTACGAAACTTTCTTGGTTTGATTTGGTAAATTATTGATTAAAAATAACCGTAAAGCTTAATCAAGAAGTAATTGCCGATAAATATTTGTACAAAGTCAAAACTGTTTTTCATTTTTTCGTTCCAAGAAAGAGAATTTACTTGGGAAGAACAAAGTGAAGAAACAAAGAAATGAGATGTGGAACCATTTCACTATTCTTTCTCTTGATTATGATTCTTCTATATCCATACTCTTATCTCTTCTTCCTCTTCGCTTCTTTTCTGGTTTGTTTTGTTCTTGCTGCTTACTATCTTCTTCTTGGAGAATTCTAAAACTGTGTTGAAGACTCGCAAATGGATCGGTGCGTTGCTCCATTCGGTACATGATCAATGGTTGAATTCTTTGTTCGAAAAATTGACAATTTCTCGTTATTTACTAATACAATGTGACCTCCCTTTCTTTGTATTATAATTTTTTTTTTTGTAACTCAAGCTAACTATTTTTGTTTACTAGTTTTCAATTATCTTTGTCCAGCTCCCAAAATAACATAATGTCAACACATAACCTTGTGCTCCTTCTCATCTTATATTCTTATCGGCGACATAATCAACATTATAAAATCTATAAATAACAATATTTGAGAAGTGTTTTTGCTGACGTGTCGGACTCTCGGCTCTTGTTGAGTCCTTGATTTTACGTAATTACTTAATTACCCTTAATGAAATCTAATTAATTTTGGAAAAATTAAATTGTATTTTAAAAAAAATAATCGGAATAGGAAAATATTTATTATAATATTGATATATTTTAGATGATAATGTCAAATATCCGAAAATTATTAATCGGAGCATTAATATAAACATAAAAAATTACTATTCTAACCTTACTCAAATTAATAAGATTTAGATATCCGAAATTAATCATAAACGGCTATTAATTGTTAAACTAATTAAAATAAAGATCAAACGTACCGGAATAGATGAAATTTTTTGGTATGATCGTCGTGTTCGTCGTCGTTTCAATCTAAATATTTGGAAAAAAAAAACGAACAAAAAAAATAATATATAGATCAATGAAAGAGAACCCACCAATTTAGAAACGGTTATCACGCCATCGTATTGTTCGTCGGATGATTATAAGTCTCTAATCCGGAGATTGACTTGAACCCTAACAAAAACATATATTCATAGCATAAAATCGTAAATAGAAGGTAGAAGACCACCTATTAATCGGTTGTAACCTTGTGCAAACTCGATTTAATTTTGACGAATGAAATGTTGGTGTGGTGTCAAAACTTTCTTGGGGAGACTCGAAGATGAGAGAGCTGAAGTCAGAGATAGGCAGAGAGGTTTACGTGTGAATTAAGGTATGGAGTGCTAACGTGAACATGAACGTGAACGGCGGTGATTTTTGCACATAATAGCAATTAGATCGAGTTTTGGAAAAAAATATAGATCAGCGTGACATGACGCATATGGATACCATGCATGTCTATCTATTGTAAATCAAAAATTATATTATTGTTCCGCCTTATTTTTGAAACAGAAAGGAATTTTTCCTTAAATTTTAATATATTTTATAAGATAGTATCAGATATAGTAGTAAATCTAAAATAGTTGTTATTATTCCATATTTTTACGGAAAAAAGTAAATATTATTTTAAATAAACATGGATAACAATGAATAAATGGCAGTTTTACAAATATTTATTATTATGATAGTGATTTGCTTATTAAAATATGTAAATTTTCTTTTCTTTTTTTGTATTTATCGTCGAAAAAATTAGAAACCCTAAATCATGCACCGCCTCCTATTCAATATAAATACCTTGCTCATGGTATTCAATTTCAGATCATAACTAACCCCTGTTTTTTATGTTCTTTTTTTTCAAACTTTTTTTTGCTTCTACCTAATTTTAATTTTTCTTTTTATTGTAGGGTGGATGTATGGAGGGGACGATGTGAACTGGTGTATGGAAAATTTGGACCTCATTCAATGAATAAACAGGTGATCTTATAGTTTATATGTACAAATTTGATTTTTTTTTTTTTTTGTATTTATGGTTTCACTATTTTCACCACTAATCAATTTTTATAATCAAAAAGTTTGGTTTCAACTTTTGAGAAGGTAATCATCGATGGTTTGGTATGTTTCTTTTTGTTGTAAAAAGATGAGGTACCTCCCGATTTTGTTGAGGTACATGTTCTTATTATTTTCAAATATGTCTTTTTCAGAAGAAACACTCAACTTTTGATAACACAGTTGCCACAAAGTCAGAAAGATGACTTATTTCAGGGATGAATCTTCAGAGGAGGCTAATTTTTGTCGTTAATACAATTTAAGTATTCCTCTCTTTAGATTCGGGATAACAAACTTGGCTGTTAAATTCAGGAATTACTCTTCGTTGCCAATCTCTCTCCCCAAACTAAAATATTACATATATGTAAGTAGTAACTTAAAGTTTTTGGTATCGAGGTCATTCTAAGGCACTGAGATTCGGACTTTGGTATGTATAGGATTCGTTTTCCATGCACTAAGATTTAATTATTGTTTAATTTATTGGTTTTTTAGGTTTCTTTCCATGCTCTGATGCGTTTTCGGGTGTGCCAATGGAAGCTTGCATCACTCTTTACTCCAAGCGTAAGTATGCTCTGCATTAGCTTCTTCTGTTCCATTGGTTATTATGGGTTTTGACTTTTGAGAAATATACAACAATTTAAAACCAGGTTTTGTTGTTGATTGGTTCGGTTTGTATACCATATTTTGCTAAATACAGATGACCATAAATAAGACCAAAGGAGCTGGGTTAGCTCCTTTGCCAGCTAGGTTGACTTCGTCTCCTCCCCGTCTTGCGGATTCCCGTTATTCAACGGGTATATTTGAGAAGTATACGGTACTAAAACCACAACCATTGATCTTAGCTTGATCGGTTCTTCCCTAGGATTTATACATAAAAGTAAATTGTTTTGTTTAATAATTTTCTATTGCATGAACTTTCGAGACAACAAGTGGACAGGAGTGTAATGTCATCAAAAGTCAAATCAAACACAGTGAGGAACATAATAGACAACGTTGGCTTCTTTCGCAGCTGCTCAACGTTGTCTCTCCCGATGGTCCCAACACTCTTTTCTTCTTTTTTTGTCAACATTCAAACGTTGTTTAAAATAAATAAAAATGTTTAACCTTAATCATCTTTCTAGATCTTTAAATGCCTAAAACTTCAACTTAATCAGTCAGCAATCCGTCACGTTAATGATTTTGAAAGGAAGACTTTTGTTTTGTTTCGGTTAGTTTTGTTTGTTTAGTATTTTAATCACAAGATAACTCTAATTTCCCATTAGAGTTGTGTTAATTGTGTTAATTATGATTTGGCGTTCCAATTCTGATATTATTTTATGTTGTAAATCTTAAACTGTTACGTTATTCTTCTATCTTCCTATGTGAGAAAAAAGTAAAATTTTTAAAATTTTTGACATGGATAATAATATAATTGTAAATCTATAATAATTATATTATCATTTTATTTATATTTTTCAAAAAGAAATATATTTATCTTAATAGATTTAATAAGATAATGTCAAATATAGTTATAAATCTAAAAGAGTTATGTTATTATTCCATCCTTTTATGAGAAAAAAGCAGATATTCTCTTAAACTTTTAAATTAACGTGGATAATAATAATTAAATGATAATTTTACTAATATGATAATGATTCGGTTTTAATCTTACCAAAAAACAAATAATGATTCTGTTTTAAAAATATATAAATTTTCTTTGTTTAGTTGTAGATATTGTCATATAAAAAATTCCTAGATCCTCCACTGCCTTAATTTTATGTAAATACCTTGCTTGATATTTAATTTTGATTTGATATCATAACTAATCCTTGCTTTTTTTTTCGGCACTAACCATTGAATCTTTTATACTGCCATTTAATTCTTGCATAAAAAATATTAATTAATAGTAGTGTTTATTATGAATTCAGGTTTGTTTTGCATGAAAACTAGATTGGATTTATGGAAGCACGTCATTGTTTCCAGTGTGAGGAAACAAATGTCGTATCACTGCTGTTGTGGCTCTTTAGTACTTTCGTTTCTGTTTATGGCTTTGCTTCGGTTGTATGGTTAGTCATCAATCATTGATCTTCTCATTTATGAATCTTTCAAAAGTTGGGTCCATGCTATTCTCAGTGATTGATTACGTTTATTGAAATTTATTGAATATTTGTGTGCTTCCTCTGCTGATATTCTAATTCATGCTTTACTCGTCGTCTTTGATACACTCCGATTAACCATTGTGGACCTCTAGAGTCTAATTTGCAATATTAATGCAAGTCTCTTTAACTTACGGATTATGAAGAGCATCCTAAGATCGTTTAATTTGATTCAGGCTTTATGTGGCTAATGTTTGGTCTTGGATGTGAATTAGTCTATCATGTTTCTTGGAAGGTAGGAAGCAATCTTGATGTTTACCAAAATCCAATGCGCTCTTTTGTAGCTCAGTTTTGTAATATGTACTAATTATTGTAGAGGGAACCCGAAACAAAGAGACCATATGTATGATTTTATATGCGAAGAGAAGCTCCGAATTTGAAATCGTCTCCACTCCGGTGATATGTGGCCATGGTGTGAAGGAGTCTGGAGCCATGGTTATTTCAGATTCGGACATAACTGTAATTGTTAAACTAATAAAAATAAAAGATCAAACGTACCGGATTGATGAGAATTTTTGGTGTTCTTCGTCGTATGGATCTAACAAAACAAAAAAAATATATATACCCCAGAAATTTTTTTTGTTTGTTAATAGAGAGAACCCACCAATTTTGTAGCGTTGATTGTGACATCGAATTGTTTGTCGGATGAAGTTGAACCCTAACAAAAACATATATTCATAGCATAAAATTCATAAATAAAAGGTAGAGCATCACATAGCTTTTTCTTCAAAGCCAACACATCTCTCTTTGTAGCCGAATTACTCTCCAGTTTGGTATATACTCAAA